GGGTTGACCGGCTTGTGGTGGGTGCCAGCTGCCAAAGGCCTGCCTGCGTTTGGATTTGCATTCCCTTTTTTCTTCTGTCTGTTTGGAAAGATGGATTCAGAACACACTGAATACTGTGTTCAGTTCGGGGCCTCACGCTACAAGAAGGACATTGAGGTGCTGGAGCGTGTCCTGAGAAGGGCAACGAAGCTGGTGAGGGGTCTGGGGAACGGGTCTTATGAGGAGTGGCTGAGGGAACTGGGGTTGTTTAGTCTGGAGAAGAGGAGGCTGAGGGGAGACCTTATCGCTCTCTACAACTACCTGAAAGGGGGTTGTGGTGAGGTGGGGGTTGGTTTCTTCTCCCAAGTAACTAGTGATAGGATGAGCGGGAATGTCCTCAAGTTGTGCCAGGGGAGGTTTAGACTGGGTATTGGGAAAAATGTCTTTACTGAGAGAGTGGTCAAACACTGGAACAGGCTGCCCAGGGAGGTGGAGTCACCATTGCTGGAAATGTTCAAAAAAACGTGTGGATGTGGCACTTCAGGATATGGTTTAGTGGGCATGGTGGTGTTGGGTTAATGGTTGGACTTGCTGATCTTAGAGGTGTTTTCCAACCTTAACGATTCTGTGATTCTATGGCATAGAAGAGTGTTTTTTGTTTTTTGTTTTTTAAAATCATTTGTTTGCATTGCACTTTGGAAGTCCCAGGAATGTTAATTCTGGTCTTTCCTGCCAGCTTTGGAGGACAACAGAGTGGTATTAAGGAAGTTTATTTTGAACTTAAGGTGGCTTCTTTTGACCTTATGTGAAGGGATAAGGGAGAATGCAGAAAGCTTAACAAAAGCTTGTTCAAAGTATTGGTTAGCTGGAGGTAAATAGTGCTAAACAAGCAGACAAGCCAGTCTAATACCCTAAAAGCGGTCCTCTTCCTTTCTTAAAGACTTGTGCTTTGCTGCCTTGAATTCTGTCGTTTATCCTGCCTCCCAGTTCTTGCTCCCCCTCCACTACAAATGTAATGTGGTATTCTCAGAATAATTAGAAGACTAATTTGTAAGGATAAGCTCCTAGTTGCATGCTTTTCTAGCCTAGGGAGAATGCCAGTTTTGAGTATAAAAAGGACAGGATGAAGAAAGAAAAAAAGGGGAAACAAACTATTTCATACTTTACACTGTAAGGATGTTAAAAGTGTCATCCAGTGGCAGAAGGCCTTCTAGAAAGCTGAGACTGAAAAGCTCTGAGGAACAGATAATTTCAACAGTAATATGTCGCTATATAGAAAATGCTATTAAAAAAATAGGTGACTTTAAGGTCAAAACCAGGTCTTAGCTTTAAAAAGACTTGGTATCTTGGACAAATAAGATCTCTACTTGTGTATGTTGACATACAGCAAGTAGTAAATCTCGTGCTTCGGGCTGTGCACTGATTACCCAAGGAAGGAACTTTTCCCGCTGCATTGCACAACTGGCAGTGCTTTGCTTTCCTCGGGAGAACTCTCTTACCTGCTGTTGCCTGGTGGGAGGGCAGGGAGAGGTAAGGAAGGAGAACGAGCTCTTGTGTTTGACCAACAGCCTGCATGGTTCACAGGCATGTGAGGACTGTGGTGCTGGGAAATTGGAGTGCCTTGGGTTCCTTCTTCACGCAGCGTGTGTGTGGGACAGCCTTGAGTAGTTTTACTGCTGCCCAGAAGGGAGTAGCACCGTGTGATACTTGTGTGGGTGCTGAGCTTTCATTCACTGATGTTGAGAAATGATCTGGGACCACAGGTGGATGTAGTTTCAAGACTGCTTGTGAAGATGCCTCTTCTAGGCTTAGCCTTGCCTTCCCACAGCTCCTACTGGAGGTGATGCCCCCCCCTCCCTCCGTGTGAACCCCGGCAGCCTAGAAGCACATCCCTACTAGAAGGTGCTGCCGGACCTGGGCAGGCTGTCCTAGCTGGAAGAGTGGGAGTGTGGCTCAGCTGCACCTGGGCTGCGTAGATCCAGGCAGTCTCAGATCTTGCGTGGACTTGCTGCGTTTGCCCTGGATGAGAATGGAGGTGTTCAAGTGTGGTGTAGGATAAACATTACTCCAATGTCTCAAAAGTGTAATAGCTGGGTCCCTATTATTCAGAGGATGTCTGTGCCATCCTCTTGTTTTGGAGGTCAGATGTGGCCTCGGTTTCCGTGAAGGTTAATGTATCCAGCAGTAGCTGGCATCTGTTTGTCGGTCAGGCATGCATCATCATTGAGAGAACAGGAAAGGAAGACTTCTTGCAGGGAAAGCTGTCTTGGTGAAACCTTTAAAAGTCATTAGGAGGAAAAGCAGAAATCTCTGAAATACAAGCATTTCAGGAGCAGAAATTTGGATAAGAGGGAGTCTGGGCAATGACTTTCAGTTTCTCCAAGTGAGGTTGTGAAGCTGGACTTGAAAAGCCTTCTGTCAGATTTACAAATCATTACAAAAAGCACGTGTGGGTATGAAAGGACACAAAGGCATTATGTTCTGTCTTATTTCAGCTCTGATTCTTTGGGGGAAACGGGTGGTGGCTTATTTTACCTCTCCCCAGCATTCAGAATGTGTGTGGTGTTTGAATGTCTTTTGTCTAGTTGCCTTAAGCCAACTAGCGTGAACAGAATCAAGTTCTGCCTTCAGCGGCAACATCAGTATACAGCGTATCTTTGCACTGCCCTCTCTATTGCAGGGACGCAAGTGTTTGTGTAGCTGCTTTGTGAGCTGTGGCAGGGAAATCTGTTTGAAAAGATCCCTGCCAAAAAAACAAAAGGGAAGTGTGGAGAGAGATTTGCCACCTTGCTGCCCAGCGGGGTCTTTTCCCAGACTCAGTTTGCAGAAACGGCCCCTCAGCCACGCCAGCACAGCTGGGGGAGTGGAGTAGTGTGGCATGAGCCAGCACTAAAACATGTGTCTGTCGTAGCCTTTCGTCAGTGCTGATAGTATCTGGTATCTAGAAGTTTAGGCAGATGTCACCCATGCCCTACAGGTATGGACAGGAAAGTATGACTTGCCACATGGTGTACTAATGAGTTAGTGACAGATGGAGCTATAATGTAGGGCTCAAAAACAAATAGGCAGGGGTCTAGCTGTTGGATTTCAGCATTGTCCTCACAATTACTTTCTTTTTTCCAGCTGTGCAAGTCCACTCTTGGATACATTCTTTCAACAACATCTTAGAGGCAGTTAGATCCAAAACCATTCCCCACCAGTAACCAAATGCTGTTCACCAGTCGATAGCCAGCCAGGTAGCAGTGGAAAGTTAGCTTGTTTGTGACCACTCTGTAGTGTACTGTGTATGTAAAAGGTGCAGAATGGTCTTTAACATGGGACCACTGGAAGTTGGTAGATCCTGGGGGAACTCCTTTAATGATGGGCACCGAAGAGGCATCTGCTAGGAGGGGAACAAAAAAGAAGTGGGTTGGAGGATAACCATGGGGGTACTGGGTGAATGGGGGTAAAAAGACATTTCTGGGCATAGAAGGTGTCAAGGAATGTACAGATGATGAGATGGGTAGTGATGTGAAACAAATTGTGAAGGAATGGCATAGAGTCGTTCCTGATGAGTTCCAGCTGTTTGGGGAACACAGCTGTATTTTATATGTGTGTTTTAATTCAAATATGTTATCTTTTTTTCTTCTCTTCCCACCTTCTTCTGGTTAAGTGAGAAGAAAAATGACCTAAGCACCATCCAGCCTTTGTGGCAAGGGCAGGAGCAGGAGTAGGTCTTCCAGGAGGATGGCTTTGCCAGGAAGCTTACGGAGGCAGCCTGCGAACAAAGGCCTTGTGTCCCATTGCACCCACCATCATATTGTTGTGTTCCTGCTGACCTTCTTCAGGTAGGTTGAGTGTATCTCTGCACAGAGAAATGTTCATCTCACTGGATGTGGGGAGGTGAGGGCATGTCCAAAGAAGGAAAATGAAGGTAGGGAAATAGTCTTCACCTTTGGCTGTGAGCCTTGAAAACAAACTTAAAAGCTAGTAGTACCAAGAGGTCTGGGAGTCACACAGTAGTGGAGCGAAGTGTGCTATGCCCCTGGGGAATCCAGCCACAAACGGGGCTTGCACCAGAGGTGAGGGTGACTGTACCAAGCTGGCTGCAGTCTGCTGCAGAAGGGCAAATGTGGGTGGGTGTGGGGAGGAACTGGCTGAAACGAGGAAGGAAGCAAACCCTGATGCTCAGAACTCTAATGCCCATTCTGACTGATGGAACATGCTGTTGTTGCTTCTGGGGTCCTCTTGTCTCCCAAAAGTGCTGTTTGCAGAGGGTGGACAGGCTTCTAGAACAGAGAGGTCACTGCTTCAGATCTGAAGGTCTACTAGATTTGTTTGTTGAAAGCTTGTCTGTTATACCAGCTGACAACAGCTGGAATATCATACTGTGTCTCCTTACAAACTTTGCCTCGCAGATACCCTTTGATCTTCACAGCAATACTGCCACTGATACCTAATCTGTCTCTGGAAGAGCACTTGTAATGGTAGTTAGCCAGATGAGTGCGTCTTCTCTTTTCTCTTTTTTTTTTCTGAGGTACCTAATTGTTGTTGCACAGTCATCTCCTCTTTTGAAAATAAAAGGAGGTCCTTTCCAGTCAAGACCTATTTTAACAACTTCCCACTGCAATCAGTGTGTCTGTCCATAATTTGGGCGTTCCTGTTGCTGGCTACTATCTCCAAAACTTCCGGTCCTCTATTATGCTGCCTGCTTAGACAACATATATCTGTATTTTGAGTCCCACCCTTTCCCACTTGTCCTCCAGAGACATTTGGTCCAACCTGTGCTTGTCTGTTTTCTGGCAGTTATTCCCTGCTCCATGCTTCCAGAAAGACGTTCAGTAATGTCAAAGTCAGCATTTCCAGCCAATGGACTCCCTCCTGCCTAAACAGCACGGCCCCTGAGCTTCGGCCATATGAGGTAAGGGTTTAAGGGATAGACAAGTGCAAAGAAAGATCAGGAACTTCCAATATGCTGAACCTGTGGTGCTGAAGAGGCCCCTTTAAGTGTTCATCAAGGGACACTTCTCAGAATGTGAGCAGGAACTTCAGGTGTCTGCATTGTAGTTTTTTGGACCGTCAGGTGATGGTGAAATCTTTCCTAGTGGTCCCCAGAGAGAAACTTCTCAAGAAGTTACAGTATCCCAATGGAAATGGGGACCTCAGGAGAGTCTCTGTAGTAGCCAGCAGCACAGAGGTGGGGGAGTAGGGCGAAAGAGGGACCCTACCTCTGAAGTGTCGGAGGCAATAAACAACCACCATTATTGGGCTTACAGAGTAAAACCCTGGCTGTGGCTTTGTGGCGGTGCTGCTGCTGCCACCTTGTTAAAAGGACAGCGAAAGTAGAAGAGAAGAAAGCTATCTGAAAGTACTAGCTGTTTATCCTAAATTGATACTGAAGAATGACATTTTATCATGCATCTAAAAGGTCTGATTTCCAAAAATGCTCAACATCCAGTACATCCAGCAAAAATGCTCAACATCCTTGTCTGTAAAACCCTAGCTTCAGTGGAAGGGATGGGAGTTTTGGCGGTGTTTGCTTGCAGAAAAGGAAGTTGTATACTGCTTGCACCTCACGAATGGGAATGCAAGAACTACCTCCTTACTCCTACCCATAGTCCTTTTAGGGGCATGCTTGTTTTTAGCAGTGGCTTGTCCCGATGCTTTTGAATAGTGGAAGGAATCTTACGTTAACATCTTGGTTGCAGGCCACGAGATCTATTAGAGCAGGGACGTTTGACTGAGGGATTATAAATGTTGACTTTTTGTGATAAGCAAAACCAGTAAATTGGGCCTGTAATGCATTCAGGCTTTTATAGTATGGCAAAAAGGAGTGAGCATCTCAGGGGTGTTAAAATGAACTGCAAGGTGTTTAGTTCCTTAACTGACATTCAAACAACTAGTATATTTTGGAAGCTGTTTTCTTTTTTTTTTTTTATATATAGATGATTTAGTGTTTGCTGGATGTTGAGGTGTATGTGTCTGATCAAGAAAAATGGTCAAAATGGTCCTTTTGGTATCAATTAATTGGTCAGTTAACAGTAAAGTGTGTTTTGGGAAATTGATAGAACAGATTAAGGACGTGAACAGAGAAGTCACATGCTATCAGTTTTGAACTTTGGAATATCTTTTTAACTACAGTTGCTCTTTATTTTTATACCTAAAAATACTTTAAAAAAAGTATAACAAAATTTTTTGTGATTGTTTTGTGAGTAGGCCGTAGCATTATTTTATTAGAAGGACAACTTACAGATCTATACTTTGCAGCCTTTAAAGATTTGTGAGTTCTGTGGAGGTTGTTTAATGAATTTCAGCCTAATGACGAAAGATTTGATTCTCTTACCTTTCTAAGACTCTTAATAGCTTGTAGACCTCCAGAAACTCTGGTTAAAACTAAAAGCTACTGGTGTAAGTAGGTATTGGTGGCCTCAAGTGGAAAGAAGTATTTTTTAAAGGATTTATTATTTTTCTTGGACACATGAGACTTAAGCAGAAGCTATGTCGGTAGGCCTTACCAATGTTACATCTTTTAAACTAAGCGGATGTGTAATTAGTGCTGTCTGTATGAGATGCTCTCCTGGAGAAGTAAAATCAAACTAAACTGATGATATTTGAGTTGGGCACATCCATAGGTCAGGTTTGGATTGGGTTTATTTGTTCATTTTCTAATGGGGGCATGGCAGGGAGAGAAGAAGAGTTTGTCCCAATTAACTTTATTTGTTCTTCAAGTCATCCTCAAAGTTTGCTTTTTTCAGATGATGTCACTAATCATACTTTGGGGACAACTGAGTCTTTTTCCCTTCTTTTTGATCACATTTAAAGTAAAGTGAAACTCAGGGTAAGCACGAAAAATAACAACATTAGTGACTGGAGTTCATTGTAAGTAGTTTCCAACGAGTGTATTTCTTCCCCTTGTTCCTTTTGTGTTTCTTTTCTGTTTGTGGTCTGTCATTTGTTATTATGGTTGCTGCCACAAATACTTTAAGGGAATTATTCATTTAGTGAAGACAGCAAGATAAGTACAGAAGAGACACTGCACATAAAACAGAATATGCCTTTATTCTATTATTCATTAAGGTGCTCTGTGTAAGAAGTTAACAGTTGCGTGCTTGTTAGAAGTAGGGTTTGTTTTGCCAGTCACTTGTCTTGATCCAGGTGGAATGAGCACTTCTCACTTCTCGTTTGCTAGCTTGCCCTTTAGAAGTGAAACAAAGTAGCAGCGGGCATGTTCTGCAGTAGATAATGCCAGAATTGTTCTTTATTTGATAATTAAAGTGTCGGAGGAATAGGAGGTTGCTGGGGCCAGATGCTGTTCTGCTTTAGAGTTGGGGTTTCCATTGAAAAAGAGTAGAATGAGCTATGCCTCTCCCTGTTTACCTGTTAAAATTTTCTCTCTGTAGCTCTGGAACAGCAGCCATTTATTTCCAAATGCAGAAGAAGCAACTCTCTTCTTGGGGACATTGGACACTATCTTTTTGTTTTCCTATGCTATGGTGAGTAAAACTAACCCAAAGCTGCTAAGCTTTGGCCGAATCTTATCGGGATGATCACACCCACATTTGGAGCGGATGAATAGGATCATCTTGGACTTGCCTAGCACTAATCCAGTTAGAAAGCTTAGTTCAGGAGCAGATTTTTTCCCTTCAATTTCTGTTAATTCTGCCCATGCCTGTCACCCATGTGAAGATACTTGTTAACAAATGCAAGAGAACTGCTATCATTTCAGAATTTCTCACACCCCTGTCACCGGTGGGTGGGAGGGCTAGTTCTAGCTCTCCGAGAGTTCTCAGCTGAATTTTTTGATAATAAGAAATTTAATGAACAACTATGAGCAGGGTTTCTTTGGTGGCAGAAGTGGTTAGAATGAAACCGTGAGTTGGTGTAACAACTACATTTAGATCAGCTTGACCTTTCTACATCACTTTAATTCTTACAGATAAGACATGCAAATCTTGTGGCTTTATTTAATGCTGTGTTTTCTTCTTAGGGTCTCTTTGTCAGTGGCATAGTTGGGGATCGCCTGAATTTACGCTGGGTTTTGTCTTTTGGCATGTGTTCCTCTGCTCTGGTGGTAAGTCAGAACATACTAGTGTGATTCAGAAATCTCTCTTAGGGTTCTGGATAGGGTTTTACTTTAGAGGAGAAGAGGCGCTGTTTCTGTCTGCATCTGCCCATGAGCTGTAGCTGTACCTCAGTGGTCTCAAGGTCTGCATGTAAAACATTGTCCTAGATGCACTTATTGCATTGTCTAAAGCACAGAGCTATGCTAGATGACTCACCTCTTCCTGAAATACCTATTTATGGATACTGTGTGAGAAGGAAATTCCTAAGTTTGAGGCACTGTCTAGAGACTTGATGAACAGCTTTTGTACAAGATTGGTGTATTTGGACTTTTTGGGACTGTTTTGTATTATAAATGTTCTGCCAGCCCACATATGTTGTCACCAAGGCTTGTGCTTCCAAATGCAATCTTTGCTCCTTCCTTTAAAGGACAAGTTAACAATACTAAGCATTCATTTACTTATTTTGTAATTGCTCAGAGTGCATGTGTCAAAAAAGAATGTCTGCTTAAAACAAAAGGGTTCTTGAAGTTCAAGCCACTGCAGATAAGTGTGAATCAATTTTATCTCATTGTGGTTTTCTGGTTATTAAAGTAGTGGTAAAATGTGTGGAGTGCTTTTGATTTACCCAGCGGCTACAAAGCCCACTATGGCCTATTGGTGTTCTGGAAACACATGACCACAAACATGTATCAAGCACAGTGTGCCACAAAGTGTGTTTATTTTGGCTAGTTTGGGTTAGGGCTCTTAGTAATTTGAGACCTGGCTGTAATGTTTATGTTAAATTTTGCGAAGATAAATGACTGCTTGAGGGTTTTGTGTTTGCATAGAGCCTTGTGGATTGGGATGTCAGTAGAACAGCAGATGAAGAGGCTACTGTATTTTTAGTGTTGTTACTGAAAGTATTTGTCTCTTTCTTCTCCTGTCCTGTTACAACTGAGCTGTTTACGAAGATAAGTCTTTTAGAGTGGAAGTACCATGACAGCACATTTGTCTCTGGAGTTGTTTGGGTTTCACAGTCAGTGCTGTGGTGTCTCGGCAGAGGGTGCTGTTAGCTCTGAGCTGTTCCTTAAACAATGCCAGGCTTGCCTCTGGCCTGGCCCCTGCGGGGGACCTTCTCCCTAAAATGTTATTTCTTGCTTAGGACCCTACTCCTGCCTGGCTTTCAGCCTCAGGGTTTCTTCTCTGTTTTGTGGCTTTTTTTTTTTTGGGGGTTTTTTGTGGGTTTTTTTTTTGGGTTTTTTTTGGTTGGTTGGTTGTTTTTTTTTTTTTCCCTTTCACCCTCTTCTCTAGGTATTCTTCTTTGGCACACTCACAGAATGGTTGCATTTCTACAACAAGTGGTTCTATTGCTGTCTCTGGGTTGTGAATGGCTTGCTGCAGTCCACTGGTTGGCCCTGTGTGGTTGCTGTCATGGGCAATTGGTTTGGAAAAGCTGGGTAAGTTGAGTTTTCTTCAGTGACTCACTTAGCTGGCCTGCTGAGTAGCAGATTGAGCTGAAAGTCTCAAACCAAAAAGGCCAACTGTTAGGTCAGAAAGTTTTATGTGTGATGAAATATGCCTTACTTGTTACTATTATCACCTTTTTTTCTGGAGCAACAGAAAACATTTTGGTGTGAACACAATTGTGTGTTTTAAAGGCACAGGTTCAAACTTCAAAAGTCCCATAGGGCAGAGTGGCTGAATTTGAATTTTCATGCCACTGGAAAACCTGTTTCTGTCTACTTACCACTGAAGAGATGGAATGGAAACTGACTCCTTGTAGGTTCAACTCTGTCACTTTGGGATACTGCAGATGAGCTCTAGCCATAGCTTGTAACCCTGTTGTTCCCAGCTCACCTCTGCTGTAACACAGGTGTTTCAGGACAGAACATTCCTCACTTACCTGTTTGGTACCCCCAAGTTATTCTGTGTTTTGTTTTAAGTGACCTTTGAGTCTCTTTGAAGTGAACTGAGAGAATGCTGTAACTTATGAATAAAGTTCGCTTGAATGTTGTATCTTTGTTTTGCTCCTAATGCCACCTCTCCCTGCATTGCCTTTTTCAAATTTTCTTCCCCTTCTGCAGGAGAGGTTTTGTGTTTGGACTCTGGAGTGCCTGTGCATCTGTGGGAAACATCCTTGGGGCATTCCTTGCCTCCTGTGTTCTCAAATACGGCTATGAGGTAGGTATTGCTGTCTGGCTTCTAGCTAGGACTGCATGTCTGATTGGGTTATGAGAGACAAGTTTCTTATCCTGTCTCTGAGAGTTAACGGGCTCAGAGTGTCCAGTTTCATTTTCCTGAATTCTGTGGTATCAAGCAGTAGGCAGAATAGAAAGAGTGTTCCTTTCCTGACCCTTCCAAGTTGGAAGAAAGGAGCCTGAGACTTCTCTGTAAACGGGACTGATGTTGTCGAAGAGCCCTAATGTCATAGTGTACCCTCTTCTGATTTGGGTGGCTTAAAGTGCTTTTCAGAATTATCTATCACAGGTTCTCACTTAACTGAAGTCACTGCTGCTGAATAGTGGTGAGGTTCTGACAGGCATGGAGGCTTAGCTTCTGTAACTGGGAAGAGGCCAGGCACATACTATGTTGCTGTAATGTGGCAGGCAGGCAATGGAATACAAGGAATGTAAATGAAGCGGCGTGTCTTGCAGTGCGTGACCTACAAGGACAGGCTAACAGAGCTGAGCTGGTCACTCTGGAGATGAGGAGGCTTAGGGTACCAGATAGCATCCTTCCAAAGCCTGTGAGAAGACTGACGAGAAATCAGAGCCAGGCTCTTTCCTGGGTTGCATGGTGAGAGCGCTAAAAAGCAGTGGATATAAAGTGAAGCAGGGATGGTTCCCACTGGATGTTTGGAAAACTATTTCACTATGAAGTTAGTTAAGCATTGGAACAAGGGGCCAGAGCCTGGAGGATCTGTCTTTGGAGGATTTCAAGGCCTGATTGAACAAAGCCCTGAGCGGCCTGGTCTGAATTTGGTGTTTGACCCTTCTTTGAGCAGTCTGTTCCAATATAGCTGGATCTGTGGTTGCGTTGGGTGAGCTCCTTCCTCACTGCTGTCACCTCAATACACTAAAACAGCTGTTTCAATGTGGTCTTTCAGCCTAGATAGAACCAAGACTGTTCAGGAGATGCAGATGTACTTGTTTCCGAGCTTTATGGATGTAGTGTGGGTTGTTGTAGCTGTGTTTACTCTCTGACAAGGTTGGAATGTAAAGAAAACTCTTGTTAGTCAGGGAAGTCTATATGACTTAGTGTTTTAAAAATAATCTCTTATTTATTTATCTTCTGTTTTAAAAAAATAATCTCTTATTTATCTTCAGTATGCGTTCTTGGTGACTGCCTCAGTACAGTTTGCTGGAGGAGTCATTGTCTTCTTTGGGCTCCTGACATCACCAAAGGAAGTGGGTAAGTAGAAGAGGGCTGTAGCATTTCAGTCACTTCATGGAAAGCAGATCTGCAGCTTCCCATGTGGTACTACAAGTACTGCTCGTTCTGACAGCACTTATTCTCAGGGATATTATAAAATGGTGTTGTATTTAATGGAGCAAATGCTTTACTCTCCAAGATCACACTAAATGCCACCATGCATCATGTGTATAGGGTCTGGGTATTTTAAAAAGAAAAATAAAGCAGCATGGAGCTAACATCTCCATTAGGATGTGCCTAATTATCAGTTTTTCTTCACCTGGAAAATCAGTATTTTTTAAAAGAAACAGCAGGCAAACTGATAACTGGCTATTGTAGGAGAAAACTGTGGCCAGCCTTAACTGTGCAGTGGGAAGGGAAAGCACTTTTCATCTGCATGTCTCCCGCAGCCTGTTAAATAGCTCTCTGGTTGGATGTGGTCCTTCTCCGAGATGATGGTAGGCATAACAGGAAAACAAAAGAACTTTTGGGCTTTGACAGGGCATGGAGGAGGTTTCCCAGGTGCCTGCAAAGGCTATAAAGTTGGTAGCACTAAAGCTACCATAAAGTGCTCATAAGAGCACACAGCAGCCCAGAAACCGCAGTGCAGTTCCTAGGGTTTCTGTTTCAGCAGAGGCGTTAACTGGCAGCAGCTGTCTGAGTAGTTGCTGGTACACTCAGCCTCCCCACTCAAGGGAATTGGTACCTGGGAGCCAGGTCCCAGGATCCCAACCACTAAATAAGGGGGTAAATGCACTAATTTATTGTGTCTTCCAACTAATGGCCAGACACTCAGAACAGACAAAGCCGATGCCAGGATCAGACAGAATATTTTCAAGAGTGCTAGAAGACAAAGGGTAGAAACTGGCGACACTGCAGAACACCATCTAGAAGAGTTTCTAAGCCAAAGGAGGATGGAGGTATGGGAGAGCAAAGGAATTGCTAGAAGGGAGAATTGCTTAAAAAGAAGTGAGCGTAGCTTTAGAGTGGGGAGAGGGTGAACAGGCTGTGGTCCTGTGGTTTTTCCTCTTGCATATCCCTTGTAACACTTAGGCCTCCCTGAGCTTGGAACAGATGAAGATGGCAGCGTGGAGGAAGATGCCAACAGACCTTTAATGGGCAATGATGATGCAGATGACGATGACCGGAATTACTCTATTCAAGCAACTGACACTGACAACCAGCCAAAGGCCATTGGCTTTTTCCAGGCTTGTTGCCTTCCAGGTGTCGTACTGGTGAGGACACAGATTCTTGAGTGAGATCTGACTTATGATGTTAAACATAAAGCTGAATTTTTGTGTTGTCAGCGTTTGTTGACATCATTGTTAATATGTTGACCATGTGTTGTAGTTGTTGACATCTGACTTCTTATGCTGTTAAAACCTTGGGGCTGGGACTGTTATCCTTGTGCACATGGGTTATAACACTGTCCAGGTGTGAGGTTGCATGTTGCTCTTCCCGTTGGACTCCTGTTTCATTTAGTGCGTGTAATGAACCAACTAAGGACAGCAGAGATCCTGCCCTTTTTGCTGCTGAATTTAGAAGGGAGGCCATTAGCGAAGGTGGCTGTAGGATGCTTTCTTGGTAAGGTAGCTACGCTGCCTTGAGGAATGGGATTCTCACTGCTAGCTGAGCATCACACAGAATTCTGTGGCACCAATATTGGGGTTTGGTTTTTTTAGTTGCCTTAAAGCAGAAAGCTGGCCCAAAAAGCCTTAATCAGCATGATGTAGCATGTGGCAAAGTAGGCAGTTTTTTAATAAACAACTGGAAACGAGGCCTGGTGATGCAGTTTCCACATATCCTCATCCTGTCCCTTGTGTGAGAACTTGTACTTCTGCATCAGCAGTATTGTCCGCTTCATGGTTTTGGTTCAGCTGAAAAATTAACCTGCCATTAAAAAACAACGTTAACTTTCTGTGTCAGTGGGCTGTGTGCCCCCTGAATTCTAGAACCAGTAGAAGAAAGGGGGCAGGGTAGCTGGCTCAGTAATGCAGTGTGAACTATCTGGATTTGAACATGAAGCAGAACTACTGAATGGATGGTATTGTCAGATACCCTTAATGAGTAAAGCGGTTGGTGGTTGTGACTAAGGCAACACAAAATCTAGAAGGGGTGGGGGGCATTGTTGGTGTTCAGAGTGCGGGGCAACCACAGTTCTGTTATTAAGACCTTGGTTCAGGGATGGCAAAAGAAAGCGTACGCATCTCGAGTTCTTTCCTAATATGGCTAAATACTGTATAAATTATGGCTCGGTTTTGGTGGTGCTAAGAACGGGCTGATGTACAAAGAACCTTCAGGCAAAATTTCTTAATGATGGAAGCTGCCTCAGTTGATGTGTGACTTTTTTTCATTGGCCAGAACATAAGGAGGTACTATACAACTGATGTTGCTGTTTCTGTACTTGGGATTTTGAGGACGTGTTCTGTGCATTAACCCAGCAACATGAATGCCTGGATCTGTGAGTTTTGTTTCGATGTCAGATCAGTGCCCAGCCAAACCAGGACACTATGTCAGATCAGTGAGAGACCAAATACTGAGACAACCTCCAAAGCCATGTCAAGATTCTACAAAGACACTATTTGACATTTTTTCTGTAGTTCCTCTCTTTTCCTGCTGCTTGATATGATGGAAGAGCTTTAGTACAGACAGCTTTCCCCTGAACCTCTAGAAATTCAATGTTTAATCACTCAATCTGGTAGACAGTTTCTAAGCATGTTGCAATAAACATTGCTTTGTACAGTGCACTTTTCATACCCAGAGGCAGGAAAACAACCAAACATCCCTGTGTCTTACATGTATGGTGGAGATTAGTTTGTGTCCTGTAAGAGTGAAAAAGCATTAATAATGCAGCTAAAAAAGATGTATCTATTAAAATAATAAAAATTCAGAAGAGGTGATTTTGTGCAGTTTAATATATAAAAAGATTTCCTTTTCAAAATTCAAAGACAAATGCGTGCTTACAATCTCAAAAGCTGTGATTCTAACAGGTTGTTTTTTCTGCCTTCATCCTTGTTTACCTCTTCAAATATGGGTTCCTTGAACTACTGTGTCAGTGTTTATCAGGAGGCCTTACTGAAATACTGTGCCTCATCCCTCTGCATGCTGAGCCAGCAGTCCCAGGGAACAGATCTTTGCCGCACACATGAAAGTGCTAAAGAAGGAGAGCTCCTGATAGCTAAGGAGAACTTGAGCACAGCAGCCAGAAGCAGGAGGTTGTCTCAGCTGTTGGGTTTGGAAGCATGTGCTTAGCTTTTTTAACCTTTTATCTTGTATCCTGGAATACCTGCCTGGGGATTATGAACAAGGCTTTCTCTTCTGGTGCTGTAAGGAGATGAGCTTTCTGAGCAGCAAAAGGTAGCGCAAAACTACTTCACATAACTTTTCTCAGCATGATGCACAGATGACTAAATTTCGAGCTTGTTTCGTGTCACATGGTTGTCTCCCCCCTTCTTCAGAAGGTGAATTAGATTTCTTTCATTTTTTTGAAGCCTGGTGTCATTTCCTCTCAAGATTACACTGAAAGTTGTTTTAACCCATTGTATTCAGTGAAAAGAAAATAACCTTCTTGACAGTGATTTTCGTATTCCTGGATTCCCTTTGGTGTTCAGCATTAAGCTTTCATAATGCTGCCTTCTTACATGAAATGCAGAAGCGCTTCCCCCTGAAAGCTTTAGCTGGATGCAGAGCTTTATGGAAAGAAGCAGAAACACTGTTTGCATTTCTCAAGTTGCCAACTGCTTGCTGGCCCTCTCTTTGTTCCAGTACTCTTTGGCCTATGCCTGCTTGAAACTGGTGAATTACTCATTCTTCTTCTGGCTGCCCTTCTACCTCAGCAACAACTTTGGATGGAAAGAAGCAGAAGCTGACCAGCTCTCAATCTGGTATGATGTGGGAGGAATCATAGGTGAGTAAACAAGTGAGTGATACCTTCCTGCAGTTGCCCTGCTAGTGTTTGAAAATGTAAGACAGTAAATGGAGCTCAGAACAGTCATGTTCAGTGGGATCTAGCTGTTTACTGAATATATAAAAAGTCTAGTTATGTATGTGGTTGCTTGGCTGTTTTGTTTTTTTTCTAAAACACAGGGTATGTGAGCCCCCTAAAGAGTTTACATAAAATGTAAAGGACACTATTGTATTCTTGGACATTACCCTCAGTGGGCATTTTTCTTTACTCATTAGGACTTCTTGAAAAGTGCCATGTACAAAGTGGTGTCCCTGCTGCTTGCTACTTGCTTTCTGACAGGTACCCTTGAAGGAGAGTTTATATCTGAACTCACCGGGTTCTGTACTGTCCCTTCTATCCTGTAATTTTGAGAACAGGCTTGTCGCAGATCTCAGCAAAGTAGGCACAAGTATGTTATATTCAGAAAAAAAATGTAATTGCACTTGTTTCTGCTGGCTGCAAAATCTGACCCTGTTCCTCCAGAATAAAGAACATATTGTATATGTGTTTAGATTTCCACTCTCCTGTGCTCAGTTTCTTGCTTTATTACCTTGTCCAGTTAGGTTTCCTAGAATAGATATCCTTGTTTTGGTCTGTTCAGGGTCAGTTTTTTTTTGCCTCTGTGGCCTTTTCTATGTAAGGCTTTCTCAATGTTCTGTTTTTTTACCAGCAGAGCCATTCCTACAGAGGTAGCAATGATACATAAGGTGACTTTTATCAGCTATTGGCATTTGTTGCAATTAGTTGCACCTACCCTAAGTAGGTGAGACAGCGGGGAATGTGAGGCCCCTGTGTGCTAAAGCTTTCCCTGTGAAAAAGAACTGCCTTTTCCTGTGCTTTCTGTTAAAGAAACCAGCCACAATGTTAAGCTTGCTTACATCCAGAGTGTGGTGATCCTAGAGCTGTGATGATCCTATAGGGGAAGGAAAAGGAAAGGAGCATTGGCTAGTTGCGCGCCAGAAGGAAAGTAGTAACAAAATTCTGGGAAAGCTGTATGAGCAGTTTTCCGTGCTCTGTCTGAGCCACTTGAGTTTACTGTTTCTCTGTGTCTGGGGCAGTAAGGGCAGGAGACTTAGTTTTCAAGATTTTAGAGAGAATGTGTATTGATGAGAAGGCAAGAGGCCACTGCACTTGGTGAAATGAGTTTTGTTCAAGGTGTTAGCAACCTGAGCCTGACGATGTTTTTCTTTTTTTGCAGGTGGGACTATCCAGGGCTTGATTTCTGATGTGCTACAGAAGAGAGCCCCAGTGCTAGCAATTAGCCTGGTTTTTGCTGTAGGCTCTCTTTTTGGATACAGCCGTGAGTATGCTTTTGCTGCGCAGTGGTAAGCGGTTAATTCGGTACCTCTTAGAGAGAACCAGAGCACAGCCTGTTCTAATTATGTTTTCTGGTCTTGAAACTGCTTCTGGATCAGGATGATGCCTTTTGGTCTATTTTGCCTGAAGTGTGGCACTGCACAGAAAGAAATCTGTTCTCTGGTTAATGAGGTGGAAAAGAATTAGCTGAGTGGTTGGATTTCCCTGTACTGGTGAGTTATGCTACTGATTCTTCTCCAGTGTCAGTGAGATTTTTGGCATTGTCATTGTATCAATACCACAACTGGCAGAGCAGGAAATCTCAGGTGCATCCCCGTAGTAAGAGGAAAGAGAATCTGGCGGTATATCTGTGCTGGAGTATATGTACACTACAAAGAGGCAGAAGCTCTTGGACTTCACCACTTACGCTTCTCTAAGTGGTGAAATTGAAGCATTTCTGCCTCTTTTATAATAGATAACAGGTCTCGGTGATTGGTTATTGAAAGGAGTCTGTCAGGAAAACTGAATAGGAGGCAGGCAGATCTCATTTCCATGAAACATCTATGAAGCTCTTCTAAGGGTAACAGTTTTGTGTCTTCAGACATGGTGTCCTATGGTACCAGAGTGCTTTAACTCACTGAGATGTAATTTCCCTTCTCTGTCTCTTCCTCCAAAATGGGGTGGCGATACAGACTGGCGTTTATAGAGCACTTTGAGATCTGTGGACAGAAATAGCTGCCAGAGCTGGATGCAAACAGTAAAGTGTGCCTTTCAGAAGCATGCTGGCTTACTCAGAAGGTCTCAAGAGTAAGGTCAATAAGGTATAATCATTAAATAGCAAGGACTGGGTTTGATGGAGTTCGGTGGAGTTTTGTAGGCTGTTGTGCTAACTCATTACTTTCAAAAGTGAATTGGAAGCAAATATAAAATTATTGCTGGCAAAGTTTGAAGTTTGTTCTAGATAGCAGAGCAGCCGGAGGTCCAAGTGTCTTGTCCAGCTAGTTGCAGAAGGCTGAGACAGGCAATTTAAGGTGGGTGAAAGTTACTGCAGTGTGATAATTAAATTTCCATTAGCCAAACCAGGAAACCTTTTCATGCTCATAGCATCTTGTACATAAGAGTAATAATGGCCTGAGAGTATGTGAAGAGGGCTGCAACTTGCCTTATGCATGGTAACTTGACCATGTGTGAGCCCTAAGTTGAAGCAGTGGGTAAGGAATTTGGGCGATGCCTGGAAGTGAGGTATTGGGGAAAGCAGTGCCTGAAAAGCACTGAGAGGCTGTAATGGAAAACCAGCTGCGTGTACACAGTGTGGTGCTATTCCTGGAAAGGCAAGCAGACCCTGTAGGTACTCAAGCATGGCTTTGTAAGGAGGAGTGAAGATATGGGGTTTGTGCATTTTTTTACTTTATTGTGCAGCAGTGTTTAGGCAGTTGCTAGATTACCCTCTCCAGATATAACCTCTGTGTTTTAAAGAAGATTTTTGAAAATTCAGAACAAGTGGAAGGGTGATTCAAGTGCTGAATACTTTATGGTGGTAGAGATTGAGTAGAGTCTAGCTTCCCCAGAGAGACAGAAGGAGTATTCTATTACTATTTAAATGGACTTTTGAGGAGGGTAAATGCAAGCTCTATGCCGTAGAAAGAGGCATAGCAAGGGCTGGAACCTAGAGCCAGTCAAATCTGATATAGAAGTAGGGCACAAGATTTTAATGGCAAAGGTGACTTTTCTACTGTAAAGTGCTGTTGGGAAACTTTGAGGTCTTTAGTCTCTAAATGCCTTTGCAGTAAGACTAATCTCTGTAGGAGTCTCTAGTCAAATAGCAGTTATTGTTGTCACTATGTAGCTAATTGAGCAGCAGTTCAAACTAGATGTTTGCATGCTTCGTTCTGATCCTGAGAAAGAAGGCTTTCTCAAGTTAATTTGTTTTATTTACACTCATCTGGTCTTTCTCTTGCAGGTTCTCCAAACAGCAAACCTATCAATGCTGTGATCATGGCAATTACAGGTATCAAATGCCACTGTTGTGCTAGTAGACCTATACATACATTACAGAAAAATCCGTAACACCAGCCTCAGGTGGTGGTAATGTATTTGTGTGTGCTGCCATCTCTGCTGGCTTTGCAGAAAGAGTAAAAGCTGGGGCCCAATTTCTGTTACTTTTGGAATACAGCTGTAGGAAAACTGCCTTCTTAGAGAGAGGTGTAGAATATAGACTGTATAGAATAATGGCTTGGAACTAAAGGGGTCTGCCTTGGCTCAGTATGATGAGGATGGATTTATGCCAAAATACCTAGCAGTGATCTGGTATCTGAGGAAGTATATCTATCGCAAAGTTGTGAGCTGCAGCTCAAATTTGAGGGTGTTTGTCAGAACCCCAAATGCACTATGTGCTGAGAGGTCATAAGCTTTGTATGCTACACAGCATACATACTATGCTGTGTATGGGATTAAGATTAGCCTGCATGAATAGAGCCTTTCTTTTCAAACACTCCTACTTCAGAACTCTGTCCTGTTGCATTTTTTTTTTTGCCTTCCATCTCCTTCACCAATCCCTGGAGATTGAGGCAATAGCATGGGGGTATACTACTCCAAAGTAGAAGCGTGTTTAAATCTGCTTCATATTGAGGTTTTGTATTGTATATACATGCTGTTCAAAAGTAGCTGTCTGTATTCAGTTTGGTGTGTCCTGACTCTTCTTGTGGAGTGTGCCACAGCGAATTACCTCGTTTTTGCTGTTGGATGAAAATGTGCTTGTTGGTAATTTCTGTGTGCGTAATCCAGGTGCCCAAGGTGTGCCACAGCCCTGTGCTTCAGCTGTGCGGATACACTTCTACCTACAGTTATTCTGTGATCACAGTCCCTAGACTTAGTCCTTTTCCTGAGCTTTACATGGTAGAAAAGCTGTGTTTTGAAGATGCTCTGTTGAGAGTCTGTCCTCATGCTTGTTTTGCACCAAGGCTGTTTTCTTGTCACTTACAGGATTTTTCATCGGAGGCCCTTCTAACATGATCAGTTCTGCAATTTCTGCTGACCTGGGGCGTCAGGATCTCGTGAAAGGCAGCAGCGAGGCTCTGGCAACAGTCACAGGAATTGTGGATGGAACTGGCAGCATTGGTGCTGCAGTGGGCCAGGTGAGGCTACCAGTGGAAACTAGAGGTCTGGGGAAGGCGGCAAAGAGTCTGTTGTAGTTAGAGATGTTAGCTCATTCCTCAATCCAAAGTTGCATGAAGAGAGAGAGAGGGTTGGTGGGTTTTTTTTTAGTCACTTATTTCTTTCAGAAAGAACTAAGGGAACATGTGTGTGTTAAGCTTTCAGTGGAAGCAACTTAATTAAGAACTAAACTAAGTATTCATAGTGCCAATGTTATGGCACTTTCATAATTCAAGTGGATTTTAGAGGCTTTCATATCCTGAACTCCAAAAAGCAAGTAAAGGTCACCTTCACAAAGAGTGAAAAGAAAATACTTTGAAGTTTATTTGGGATTTTTTGTTCAAAGGTAATAGTAATCTGCTTATAGAAAAGTTTACCTGTATTAACTGAGTAAAATTAGAATACCTATTAGGAATGTTACAGTGTTTATAAAGTAACTTAAAATTTGCTCTTATTTGCGGTTCCCCTTTTTATCTATGGATGTCTTTTACACCTTGTAAATCCAGCACCACTTGCTTTGATAGTCCTTGCAGTATGCTGCCAGAAGTCTGAAGACTAGACTGTTGCAGAAAAGGAAGCTGACAGTGTGCCCACTGGGGGCATTCTTTCTTCTCAAATACAAGCGTTAACTATGTGGAAGAACACAGAGGTGCTTTGGGGAGGGGGGGATTTAGTAGAAAGATCAGAGCCAGTTTTATTCCAGGCGTCCTCTAGTACGGGTAAAATACCAAGGATGCAGGCAAGGCATACAAGTTTCCTTTCTGGAAAGGGATTTGGGTTTGTATGTGCCATTGATTGCCTGATAAATACAATCGTTGAGTCTCTATTTCACAGGAAAGATGCTGCTTAGCTCCATGAAATGTGGAACATTACAAGTGCTTTGTGGACATCTTAAAGTGCGCAGTTACACTCAGTGTTATTCTTGCATTGTCTACAGTGTTTCTGTCTTCCCCCACACATACCATTCAAACTTACATCATCATAAAAATTGGGTCTTTAGTTCTGAAAAATTCCACCTGCCTCCCATTCTAACATTATATTTATTTCACCAGAGACAGCCATGATGTCATTCTGGGGGTGTGTGAATAACAGCAAATGCACAATGAACATGTTAGAAATTCAGATCCTGTTTTGTGCTAATATACCCAGTAGTGAAGAAGGGAGGCTCTTGTACAGCTTCTGAATATAAATCTGCTAACAGGGAATACATTTTCTTCTGTAGCCTGTGTAGTCCTATTGAACTGGGATGCAGTTCAGAACAGACTGTAGTCTCAAGTGTCTTGCCTACGATGAAGGGTTAAGTAGTTAGTGGTTGCACAGCTCTTGAAAATGCGTCTTGTGTAATTTATAAGCCATTCTATAAGCTTTTAGTTCTCTGAGGGTACTTACATCCACTTACGGCCCAGTGTTCTGTGCAAAAACCTCGTATTCAGTGGAGTCAATTTGTCACCATTTGAAACTGTAGTTCAGTTCTGTCTTTATGCTGCTATGAGTTACTGTAAAGCTTCAGGATGGTATCTCTGCTTTGCTGAGGCTGTGGGTTTTATACAGAAAGGCTGCTGTCCTGACTCATCTCTTCTGACAGGAAAAGATCAGCTGGAAGGTTTTGTGATCAGCTCTGTATGGAGTGTTAACAGCCCACAAATTCTAGAAAATGAGAGAGTAATGCCTGAAAGTCACGCTTATCTTCCCAGTTTGAATAATTTCTTCTTCCCCTTTCTTTTTAGTATCTAGTGTCTTTGATCCAGGAGAACCTGGGATGGATGTGGGTTTTCTATTTCTTTATTCTAATGGTAAGAAATCTCCTTTTTAAAAATTCTTTGTCAACGTTCAACTTGCAATAGAATGTTTTTGTCAGAATGAAAATTGTGACTCAGACATACAATCTATTTGCAGCAGCTGCGAACGCTGATGCCATTCTCAAAGTGATCTATGGTGTGCCTTTGCCTCAGGGTGTCTAAATCAACTGGGTTCATTTTTTGGATCCTTGACGTTCCTGTTGGCCAACAGGAACTAAGATTGTGGCAGAGGCACAAAAATACTTGCTTTAAAATACCTGTGTGCATTTCCTAAAGCTCATACCACCTGACTGTCTTCCAAGGCAGGACTTTTTCCTCCTTCATCTCCATGGTATGTAGTTCCTAATGTTTTCAGGGAGATGAAGTTAAGCTGCTTGTTTGTTAGCCCTTGAAGATTAGTGGAAGGAGTGATGAGGATCTTGAAACTAAAATGAAAATGCCTTCCCCTGGTATACAACTGGGGGAGAAGACCATTCGGGCCCTGATCTCCTCCTCAGCATTGCCACAGTGGTAAATGCTGTATGGTTCACTCGTTCTTCCCTGCTGGAAGTGCCAGGAATAGTCTTTGCATCTGTGCTGACAAGGGAAAAGGCCACTTTGGTAGGCAGCAGAGGTGGCCAGGAGGAGGGCTGTTGAGGAGGTGAAAAGCTCATCATCTTTATGAAGAGAAGATCATGACAGCTGAAATCGTATGAGCTTTCCTGCAAGCTCAGTCCTTCCATCTGCTGTGCCACTTTGTCATCGCTTCTCTTAGCCTGTATCTTTCTGGGGTAGGCCTTGAATGCACATTGGAGTGCGGAATGGCTGCAGCTATGGTTGCTCTGTGCTAATTGTCCTGGATATGCTTCTTTTCACAGACGAGTTCAACAGTCCTGTTCATTTCACCATTAATAGTGAGGGAGATCAAATTGCTTCTGCATGAGCGGCGCCTGCGAATGCTGGCTGAGTGACTTCTGCTTGCCTCTGGAAGGACTGTTGTATGGACCTGACATTCTGGACACTAATCAAAACTCTGGGAGACTTGCTTCTTATATCCTCCAGGTTTGGACTAATTCAAAATGGCTCTGCAGGACTTGATTGACCTGCCTTTGTGAGCTCAATAGTGAAGTACCAAATGCCCGTCCTGAGACCACCTGCATCATGGAGCTGCTGACCTAAGCTAGACAATCCACGGGATTGGCAGATTGTTCTGGCCTACCAGACTCTTCCATGTCAGCAGTCACACAAGGGTCTTCTGTTGGGTGGGCTCACTGCTATATACCCTTTCTTATTTATTTCTGGATCTCCTGACCAAAGGTTGACTGTTTAAAACTGACGGTGGAGAGGCTGTCTTGCAATGAATTGTGATGCTCTGTTGTGCTGGTGAAATCATACAGTGCATTTCATGGGTAGTCTAAATTTACAATCACTTTACAGTTTAGAAAGGGCAAAATTAATTATCTGGAATTTGCGCTGTCCAGTTGTTTAAAAAAGGCTGTTGCTAGATCTCCACACAGATGGACCTCTGCTATCCCGAGCTAATAACTGTCACATATTCTAGTAAGTTCACATGGAGAAGTTACCTCCATATTTGTTTTTAGCATTTTTTAATAATAATAATAATATTACTAATCTCTGGGAAATGAGATTTCAGTTTTTAACTATTTAAGCAGACAAAGAGTGTGCAATACTTTACTGTGATCTCTGAGAATAAGCCTTAATAGATCCTTTGTGTCTAAGGGATCCTTGAACGGCTTTGAGGATCAGTAATGGGACACAAATACTTTCACTACTGCTTTGCTATTTGAACTCTGATCAATACTGACCAAAATGGGACTGTCAGGTGGCCCTCTGAAGAAAGCTGGTGTCACTATTTTCATACTCACTGGGCAATTGCTTGTCTCTAGTAAAGGAGAACCAGTATGGAATGAAAGGAATTTAAGAGACCTGGCTGCTCTCGGACACGGGCTTCCAGACAGGGACTGAAGCGTACTTGTAGAGTAGCATCAATGAGCAAGTGCTGCTGTCTTCACACGTGCTCCTCTGCCTATGGCTGCAGAGGGGACCTCAAGCTCCAAGGTTTTAAAGCTCGAGTTGTATCTTGAAGAGAAAGGTAGATGCAAGTCAGCACTAGAAACACGTGACTGCACTTACTATGGTTGTGTTTGAGTATTTTGCGGTACGGTGGTAAGCAGGGTGACTGACTGACACCTCTAACATTTGTTGGTGATGTTAATGAGATTGCTGAGTAACTTCTCAACAAATTGGTTTCTGCTTAGGCCTTGGGATGTTTCCTTGTAAAACAGGTATGTGGTAACGAGCAGAACTTCTGACCAAACACTTAATCTAACTAGTTAGTGATGCCAGGATGGGGGAGCAGGAAAATTCTTGAAGATGAAAATTTGAAGCTTTTTAAGTGGGAAAAGTTGCCTTTTAAAAATGTACAGTGATTTTATTTTTTTTAAATTTATGAATGTCAATTTTTAGTCGTGTTGATTGTAATGAGTGGAACATTATTAGTGCCTTACGGTTCTACTGTATTGAATGGTTGTTTGGTGATTGCTGCTTCTGCAATGACAGCTCTGTGCACAGCTTTGCTTACTGTGAAACTCAGTTGCTCCATTTTATACTTTTTTTTTTTTTTGAGAATCTCTATCTTGGTGGAGGTGATTCTTGCATTTTTTCTAACCCTTGAAAAATTTCAGTGCTTGGGAAAACAATGCCATTAAGCTGATGAGGGACCTGAATCCTGTTCTTGTCTTTTCTCATTCTCATTCCCATTCCAGTTTTTGCCTGTATAATTAGAGCAGGAGACTGAGAATCTATCATCCTGTTCTCAAAATTATGCCCTGGGGTTAGTGTTCACATCCCAAGCTACTCATTAGCCCATGTACACATAGAATCCAAACTCACTGAAATTTAGTTCCAAAATTGATGGCGGCACCGTTTGCCCCAGCCACAGTGTCTGAGAATCTGTGGTTTCAAATTCCAACCTGGGTGAGCTTTTTGGCTGGCCGTCTGGGCGCTAGATAAGCTTCTCGTGAAAGGTGGGGTGAGAAAGGGATGTGGCTGGGCTCAGGGGGAGGAGAGGCAGGCCCCTGTAACAAATGGTTTCCTGTAAACTGTTCTGTCCCCTCTTCAGAAGCGTCAGATGTGTTGCGAGCGCAGCGAACACAAGCTGCCCGGCAGCTCGCGTGTGAGTGTGTGGTGGTGCTTTGAGGCCACCCTCAATTAGCGAGGCGTGCCTCTGACTTCAGGCTTGTTTTGTTGTCGTCATCCTGGATTTTTGGTTCTGTGTGTTTCCTTAAGGTGCTCGGTTGGAGAAAGGTTTTTCAATCCGATCTGCGTCCAAACTGATCTCATATGAATAAACTTAGTTTGACTTGATCTGGGCTAATTCTTCTGTGTGCTTTATTCCATTCTTCTCAATGCGGTTCTGCTGAGTGTGCTTCTCTTCCTTCTCATCATAGGCCTAGCTCTAGCAGCTGCTTTTCACTCAACTGCTGTGAAGACCTGAGCCCTGACTAATGCTGAAACCAAACCCTCATCCCAACCTAAAAGGGGACCGTGTTCCCACACATGGTGGTTTGGCATTCTTCCTGATGAGTCTCACGAGAAGCTTTGTGAGGCTCCCCTAACAGAGATGCCCATAACAGTGTAATTAATGGTCTTAGAGAAGCCAGAACGTATATTTGGTTTTATGTATTTATTTGTTAATCTGCATGTAGAAGTCAGGTGTTCTTCCCTTGAAATGAAATACGCCATGTGGCTGCTGGCCCTGCTGTGCCTTCTCTCCTGTGGCTTGTTTCTTTAAACACAAATACACACCTATGCTTAGCTGTGTTTAAACTGACACCGTGGGGAACTTTGTAATTGTGTTTGTGTTTTATAGTTTACCGTAAATTCAGAGTTGAGCACAATACTGAACTGCCAGAGAAGCCCCCCTGCTTGCATGTTCTGGTCCCTCAACTCCCAAGTAGTTTGGTGGTGCTATGATGCCATTCGTCAAGAAAAGTAACACCTCATATTTTTACCCCTTTTCTGTCACCTTTTTTTTTTGCCCCCCTACTCATGAGGAACTTTCCAGGCTACTCTGGAAGTACTCGAAGGAGTAGAGCCTTGCTTGAGTATCTGTTTGAAAACGCTGATGGGGCAGTCCCCATCAGCACCAGCCTGACTGCGACCTCCAGAGCACAATGTCTGGGCAAGCAGAAGTGTCGTAATTAACTCCAGAGTGCAAAGGAAGCGCGTTAGGAACCGACCTCTGGGTGTTTGGTTGTAGCCCAGGATGTGACAGACTGTCTGATCAAATTGGTTATGAAAGAAAAGGTGTGCCTCAGCCCCATAAAGCTTCTCAGTGTGCTGCATCCTGGGTTTCTCAGAGCTCTGGAACCCAATGGTACAAAGTCTGCCTGGTGGCAGTATCACTGTGCTCTCCAAAGAGGGAAAGAATTGGGCTTCTGCTCTCAGTGCTGGGCAGCCTTAGAGAGCACATGAGCTTCTTGTCCTCACCAAACCCAGAAGAGCAGCTTTCCCTTCAGCAGGGAAGTGGGGGAGAAGCAGCAGCATGTTTTAAGGGTTTTTGTTTTCTCCCTGAGCTAAAAGGAGAAAGTATTTCGAGGTAGTCCCACAGATCTCACCAGTAAAAGCACTGGCTGTTCAGGGATGTCTCAGATGCACCACTGTGTGTAATTTTGCCCTCTATCCAGCGGTGCCTGAAGTACTCTGCCAAACCTACTTGCAATTTCGCCCCCATTCTTTTCTAACTGAAAGTGCCTACAGGGATGTTTTGGGTTCTATACTGTGAAAGTTTTCTAAGGCACAGCATGCCCACCTTCCTACATCTTTGTCAAGCCTCATCTAATCCTTTTAGTAAACAGCCTACTGTTCTCTGAAGGCTGTAAATACAAGCTCTTAGGCCATTTTGTGGGGTTGGATCTGGGGCGTGTGTGTGTTATGTACAGGCCCATGAAAGTATCTTGCTTCTATTAAAGCCTTTCTTAAATGAGAGTTGCTTAGATGAATACTTAGACTAATGCAAAGAAGAAGAATGTGTGCAATTGCTGTGAATGTTCCCTTTGGTTCTCCTGCACTGGTGATCATGTCTGTGTACGTGTCTGGACCTCTGGAGGTTCTCCTGGAATGCCTCCTTTGGCCTTCTCTGGAACCGCATACAATCCAAAAGTACTCCTGGAGCATGGGAGCAGATAGTAAGCTTTGTGTCTCTCTTGTTAGGTTTCAGGTTACTGCCAGGAGAAGGAAGATTTCTGCCTGAGATTACAAAAGCCCAGGCAAACTGTTTGAGGACAGCCTTTCTTGTTTCTGAATAGTTTTTAAAGCAGCAGATGGCAGTTGATGGACCTCTAGGTGAACTGATGAAGTCTGTGTCCGTTGGTGGTGGTGGTGCTCAGTTGTGAAGGGTAGGAAATCCATACACCACCACCTCTTGTCCTTGTGGACCATGTAAGTAACAATATAATCCATAGTGTACCAGTGGAATGAGGGCAGATAAGGATGAGTTTACTTAGATGTGCTGTTTAAATCTTCTTTCCTTATAATGTGGTAAGCAAAGTACTGGGGATTTGGGATGGGTTGATTTCTCCGGGCTCCTAGATTCCTACACTAGCTCAGAGGACTCCTACATCCTCACTCATTTTCCCGTTTGTCAGGTGGGACCAGTTTCCAGAAACTCACTCAACTGCTCTGGAGTACGTGGCAGAGAAAAGCGACGTTGGGCTGACAAAAGCTGGTGCTTGCCTGCAGCGGGTGCCAAAGATGACAAAGCAATTGGGTAATAGCTGACTGTGCTATTCAGCTGGAAGGATGGGAGTATCCGACAGGCAATTTCATCAGGGCTGGCTCCACTATCCATTCACCTCTTCTTCAGCCTCCTTGCCCTCTGCTGTAACTCTTGCATCCTTCTGGGAATATTAAGGTTTCACTTCTTCCCGTCAGAGGCAGGTTCATCCCAGGACTTCTTATCAAGGGCATGGCAACAAGTAGGGCAGATGGCAACAGGCGGCTGCGGCTCCTGCTGTTGAATGCAAAGGAGCTGTACGTGGGGAGAGACACAAAGGTGGGAGCCCTGCCTGCAGCAGCAGGCACGCGTCAGCGTCGCGCCAGAACAAGTGACTTCTGAATTAGCACACGTCTGCGGGGCTGGTAGGGTCTCTGCTGGAGGTGGCTTTCCGCTGCTTAGCTTTGTGTGCATCTGCGATGGTGTTTCGGGCTACTGGAACTCCCAGGCCCTTTCTTAAACACTGTATGTGTCTTGGCCCCGTGTGCTCAGGCAGCGTCAGGGCTGATTTCCCTGAGGGAAGGCGGAGTGCGTTGAGGGAATATGGATCCATGGCCCCAGCAGCTGGCTGTCGCCCTGGTTCTGAGGGACTCTGGCCTTTGCTCCTAGATGGCAAAAT